AATTCTCGTCTTTACGTTTATACGCATATTTAGTTTAATTGCATTATTTTTACATAAACCATAAAAATCACAAAAACATCCGTACGAAACCTAACCATTCTCGAGCCCGAGAAAGTGAAAGAATCTAGGCCAAGAAGAGGTTCCTTGCTTGGTCGATCAATCGTTTGCTCAGAAGTTAGAAGCGCAACACATCCATCTATTCTCATTCCATTCAAGCCCAATTTCGGGGCTTGGTGGTGGCACGCCCCGCATCCAAAAGAAGAAGGACCAAAAGTTCCTTCCGTCGGCCGCCCCGGCCGAAAAGAGGGTAACATTAATATAGAAAACAAAGGCTGAAAAAGGTTTTGTATTGTATTGATATTGTTTGTATTGGTATACATAGTTATATATACAGGCCTGAGGCCTGGGGAGAACTTAACATGGAAATTAATAATGTAGAATGCATTAAAATAGCAGTACATATATGCAAATAATAATTTCAGATTTGGAAAGTAACAAACCAATTCTAATGCATAAACTTATACGACAATATCAAGCTTATACAGTACACTTCAACGCACAAATTTACAACAATCTTTAAACTTTCGTAACTATAGACTACAAACTTGCACTAAACTCAAAAAGAGTTGATACACAGAAAAGGAAATACATAAGTTGCTCTCCCACCTTGTCGTCACCAAGTAGAAAACAAAAAGCAGGAACTCCAAATCTGCGAAATGAAGACACACAAAGCAAACAAAAGCAGCCACACATCCAGGAAAAACTACCAAGCAATACAAGCCATCCAAAAGCTAATAAAAGCCCAAGGGAGAGGGGAGAGGCATGGATGAAGGTTGGAAGGGAAGGGAGGCCACGGACTAGTCTCAATCGATGTGACATCTACTTTTTATTATCGCAGACAAGCGGTTAAGTTTATACACTAATATGACATAGTTCTCCCACTGAACTAAAAAATATCGAGCATAAACGACCCAAAAGAATAAATAGGCACCAGCAAGTAAACTCCAGTAAGCAAGTGATTGAGAATCACCTACGACTGCATATGTGCATGAAATGAATGCACATATCATTAAAACTACAGATGCTATAGTGATTTTTATAATAAAACTCCTCAAAACTATGAACCTCACTTCTGCCTCTGGGAGTGTCAATATGAAAAGGCGCGTAAGCACAGATAAAGTGGACAAGCACAAGGCCAACATATTGAATTCCAAAAAGAATTGGAAAGCTATATTGTTTGCTAGAACTGCATAACCCGGAGTTTGTCCATTACTCCGGGTCGGGGCCATAACATTTTGCTGTGATACGTTACTCGTGCCATTTACCTGATCTGATGCTTGGTAATAACCACCAGGCATGGTGACACCTGCTGCGAATGTAACAGTTGCTACGAGTGTAGCCACTATCAGATGGGATTCGCTTATACTTTTATTCGTTTCGGTGTCCTCGCCACCTTTGTTTTCCTTTAATTTCTGGCCATCATTATCATTTTCGCTTAGAATTCGATGGCCTGATGATACACCATTCCTTTTCAACTCATTCGCGAGATATATCTGCAATTACAAAAGTGTATTGGAATAACCTGCGGTTCCAACATATCCACAATAATACATGCAACGATAGGTAGGTAGAATTTTTTTTTTCTTATGGAAATAATTTTTAAATTAGGGGATTAAGTTAAAAACTCCGTAGTAAATGATTTTATTATTTACTTTAAAATGAGGGGCCAATATATACTAGTTCAATTGTCTGTTATGACAAAAAGAGCAAAAGGGTCAAGGCAACTTTAGACTTGGCTTGAGCTCCGTCCTTGAATCAAATAGACTATCATCGTGCACAATTTTCTTCCGGTCTAAGAAAATGAGGGCTAAATTACTGCTCATCATTCCGACATGTATTGTCACACACAAACAAGTTTAATGAAATATCATACCTTGTATATTAAATCATATTTAGATTTAATGACGTCGGGAGCGTTCATGTTTTCCTCATTGAATGCCATCTTATCAACCCTATCATCACCAATGAATAAAGGAATCTGGGTGTAGAGAGAAGCATGAAGTAGATGGAGGGGTGTGTTGCCGTCAACATCCTTGGCATTTAAGAGGACGTTGCTAAGCCATGGATCCTTTAGAACAAAATTTGAAATTCGAGGTTGACCGTTCTTCAAGGCATAATGAAGAGCATTTCGACGTCTTTGGTCTACCACTTCGCAACAATCAGGACAATAGGAAATAAGTTTTTCCATTACATGAACATGGCCTTCGGCG